CTGTGGCCCTTGGATGAAGAGTTCTACTTCAAAACAACCAAGCCCTCAGCAACAATGGTCCTTGAAAGAGTCAGGCTATGTGATACCAAGGACAAATACTTGACTGCAGCAAAATGTTCTTCAGGTATGTGGGTTTCTCCTCACAAGAACATCTTCCAGAAACCTCTGATGAACTCCGCTAAACTTTGACTGTGGTTATGGCAACTCCTATTAGAACACTGCTATATGTTGTGACATGGAGCTCCTGTAAGAAATTGTGGACTGTCTTTGACCATGCCTTTGTATGGAAGCTTTGTCCCTGAAGCATTTGCTGATCTTGATTTGAGCCTTCTTTGCTCCCCAACTGCACAGGACTCTGGGAATCCTGTCAGCCATGACCTCAAAATTACCCTAGCCACCCTCTCTAAAGCCAAACTTCTAGCAAACAGGCCAAAGGCCTTCTGGATGTAAATCACTGATTTATTTTTATAATTATGTAAAAAGTGAGCAGGTACAGAAGAAATTTTGTTTACTAACAAGTAGACGAACAAGCAACAAAGCAGTACTACAACTGAAATAAATACAGATTAGTTCAGTCCAAAAAGAAAGATGAACATGAGGTCTGTCTCTTAGTATTATTGTACTGCAAAACTGATGTAAACAGGGACTGGTGAAAATTGAAAACCTTTTAGCTTTGATCTAGTGTGTCTCAATTGGTCTGTTTTGCTGACCTGATACAAAGGACAGCTAGTTGCTTTGGAAAATGTCTCTAAAGATTACCGTGAATTTTTTTTCTTCCTTGTCCTTTCCATCAAAGCTGACATTTTGAAGATCAGCAATTGTAGCAAACAAACACTAACAATAAAGGCTTATTTTTTGCTAAAAGCTCACCACCATTTATCAATTTCCAAGTTCAAGCACTCTTTTTGTCTCCATTAATAATCATTTCAGAAATCATTTCTATCATTGCATAGAAAATAGAAATGCAAATTAATTTGACATCCTAGCCACATACTTCTGCTTAATATGCCCGACTTTTATATACTGAAGAAATTATGAATACAGGACGCTGAAAAGTTAGTTTGGAAATAAGGAGTTTTCCCCCCATATTTGCATATGCTTAAAAATATGAATTAGATAGTGTAAGAAACTCATTCACGGTTATAGGAAGCAATTGATTTCAGTTATTTTTTTTCCAAAGGGGGTGATCCAAATATTAAATTAAGTGTGCCAATAATTTTGGCCAGTGCATTTTTGGGTTTCTTTGTGGGATTGTATCAGATTTGACTTTTCTTCTGTTTTTTTGTGTTGTTCCAACACAAACCAAAGAAACGAACAATTTTCTCAGAGAAGGGTTGCATTTTCTGTTAGAATTGCAAGGGTGCCAATATTTTTGGCCATGACTGTATATACACAATCCACAAAACACTTTACAAATGTGTGCAACCCCACTAAAATATTTCACACTATTTCATAATTTATTCAAGGTTTTTGTAACTTTCATCAGATATCTGAATGTTATGGTATGAAAAATAAATGCTCTCTTAACACATTCATTGCTTTTCTCCCTAATTTTAATAAAACATATTTTAAACTCTACAGAAGTAAAGATTTCTGTTTCTATTTAGAAAAAGTCTTTAAAAAATTCTTGTACTCAGAAAAATAATTTTAAACAGTTTTTAAAAACAATTGAGAAACATTTATATTTTTAAACATTTTAAGCACGAAAAGACTTGCCAATTGTTTTAAATTTACAAGTGCTTGTTTTACATTAAACATATCACTACTGGCCAAAAAATTCTGCATGTTTGATTTTTATATACGTATACTCTAGTTCTCTATTGGTATCTTAAAGCTCAAACATCTTTTCGGGTCTCTAAGAGATGAAGAATTTACATAGACTGAAAAGAATCAAACTGGGTAATATGCTTAGCACATTTTTTGCAGAGATGTTTCCCCAACCAGTGATGCCACATGATATCTCAACTATGTATCTTGCCCTGAATGTGCTTTGTTTTATGATTGGTCAATGGGAATTAAACACAAGCTTAATTTACAAATCCTTTTAACATATAGTCTGCCCAACAGCATGACACTATGAAAGGTGTATGTACAGCCATAAACATATTCTCGTTTTTGGTTTAATCCAGATGTCAAATGAAACAAGAGTGTATTAAATTGAATCAAGCCACTGGGATGAAATGATTTCGACACAGGAACTCCTAGTTAGTTTCAGTGAGCTAGCTGATAAATTCAACAGATGGATTGTGGCTTGTTGCCTGATGCATTTACATGTTACCAGAGCTCATTTTTTGGAAGAGTTATCAACTATAAGGCTAAAATTATCAGTTACAGCACCAAATGGAAGGCCCTTTTGCAAAAGAAGGTAGTTACAAAATTATAAAAATCTTTTATTTCCAGATTTTTCAAACAGTTGAGAAATATGTACATCTCTTGATTTCCTTGAGTATCTTCATCTTTATATTTACACAGTAACTAGTCAGCTGGAAAGAAATGTTGATATATGTTTCTGCCTGGCTATGTAAAATTAATTCCTGTAATTCTGGTTACTTTGTAATCAGTTTAAAGGAGCATTTTTATCTCAAAGGTAGTATAGGTGAACTTTGCATGTATGTGTTACCACAGAAATGCCCTCTACTAAACTAAAGCTTGTCATTTCACAAGTACAGTTGTTCGTAACTATAGCAAGATGTTTCAAAGATCTCGGACTATGAAATCGTTATAGTGCACTGTTTCTGCCCATGAATGTCTTCTTGAAGGTTTGCTTTTCAGTAAGGTCTATAGTGTTTTAAATAGTATTATTTATTCCACACTATTAGTGTATATGATCCCTTAAAAAGCCAAAGATTCAAAGCAGGACAAATTTGGCTCATTTTATTATGTGACTACATAGCTCGTCTGGCTCAATGGAGGAAGACAACAGTACATGTTTACCACTTTAAAAATTAACTTTCCATAACTCTATTCCTTTCCTTATTACTATATTTCTATTCTGTCTTTCTACTACAGTATAGCACTCAAGATGGCTTATAAATATTTTCTTTCATGTTTTTTCATACCCTAGCACATACTGCTAATTACTCGGGTAACTGTTATTTCATATAGGATGCTACATGATTTAAGATAATATTCTGTAAAAGTCTGAAGGTAAAAAATCCTGCATGGACTGGTATGATGAATCAGACCTCAAGAAAAATAGTATAGAAGGTCTATCTTTCCACCGTGATGTGAGACCTGAAGGAACAGTTATCTCTGTGACAGTCTGCTGTAGGCAAAGAGAATCCTTCCTGGCTTTGCTTTCAAAAGTAAGATGGGTGGTGTGTGGCAAGAAGACTTTCTCAGGAGTGGTGCCCCCTTGCAGATTCAGTGGATGCCTACTTTGCTATCTCTTCCATGACAAGCAAATACATGAACTGCTGGACAGCTCAGTGGTTTAAGCATCTGGCTGAGGAACCAGTGGTTGGAAGTTTGATTCCTCACTGTGCCTCCTTGACAGGGAGTCAATGATCCATAGGGTCCCTTCCAGCTCTGTGGTTCTAAATTATTATAATATTGTGCTGTTAATTTTATTTGCTTTTAATTGTTAAATGATGCCTTTACTGCTTCCAGGTTTACTCTGCTTATGGAGAAGGATGTGAGTCAAGTGTTGGACATGAAATATAAACTCTCACCCAAGTATAGGGAATGCTTCCTCTCAATGACATTTTTTGAAGTATGTATCTACAGATACGTCTTCCTCAAAATAACCAAATAAACTACTTTTGTACTATTACAGTGATGACTGAAAATACAGAACATAAAAAAATCTCAGAATTTTTGGCTATAGCACAGCAAAGCTATGCATACGTAAGTACCATGAATGAATAATGTCACTGTGACATTAAAATAACTATCTTTTTAACAGTCTTTCAAAGCACTCCTGGTTTGTCAACACCTGATAAATATTTGTGGACACTTTGACATAATCCCATAATGCTGCTATGTCCACATACATCCACATTTACAACAGTAATATACGTATATTCCTGATCAAGACCATTTTCTTACAGCAATAATTTTCCAAGGTAGTCAAAACAGACATAACTTATAAGCCTCAAATCTTGTAAGGCTAGCAAAAGATTTATAATTTTGCATGTAATAGCAACACCATCACTTCCCAAGCCTCAAAACACTGCCAGAAGCTGGCGATTTTACCCCCCCTGCACCCGTGGGGGGAGCGTGGCAAGGGTCCGAGGGAGCCTTCCAGGACCCTTGCGACACTTCCCCACCCCCCACGGGGCCAGCGGGGGCGAAATAGCGACCTTCCAGGACCTTTTGAGAGGCTTGAAAGGTCCTGGAAGGTCGCTATTTTGCCAGAAGCTGGCGATTTTACCCCCCCTGCACCCGTGGGGGGAGCGTGGCAAGGGTCCGAGGGAGCCTTCCAGGACCCTTGCGACACTTCCCCACCCCCCACGGGGCCAGCGGGGGCGAAATAGCGACCTTCCAGGACCTTTTGAGAGGCTTGAAAGGTCCTGGAAGGTCGCTATTTTGCCAGAAGCTGGAAGGCTCCCACGGACCCTTGCGACGCTTCCCCCCACGGGGCCCGTGGGGGCGAAGTCACCACCTTCGCTCCATAAGACACACAGACTTTCTACCCCTCTTTTTTTGGGGAAAAAGTGTGTCTTATGGTGCGAAAAATACGGTAATTTGAAAGAGATATTTTCTTTCACCCATCTTAAACCGAGCAATTAGTGTGTCAAGTGAAAGTCCTAGTGCCTAGGAATTTGAAGACAATTATCCTAAAAATTTACTAATTTCAATATTAACAAAATGTGTCTTATTAATTGCAAACAAAGGTATTTCTTTAGAAGAAAATGGCTGTTTTCTTATTGCACTGTGTGTGTTAACATTCTACAGCTACCTTTCTATTTTCTACTTTAGAATCATAAAATGTAAGGCTGACTTTGATCAAATAGATCATTAATATTTATATTCATAAACTGATATAGTGATATTTTGAATAGATTCCCATATTTAATTAAACATTTAGAAATAAGTTATAAAAGTATTTCCAATATCACAAAGCACTCCTCAAAGTCTTATTTTAAGAATTCTTGCTCATATCTACGGATTGTCGGGCATCAGCAACAGCTTCAGGCACTCGGACTGTCATGTTGTCCATAGATTTCTTCAAGCAGATTTGACAACCTAGTCGAGACCTGGGGGGGAGGGGGAGAGAATTTTGCGTTAAAGCTCATTTTTACTTAACTAGTAAGAACTAAGATGCAGCAGTGGTATATGGAGGGCATAAGATAATGTTCATTAAATATTATATGCAAAGAAAATGGTGGAGCGGCAGAATCTTAATTCCATGCTCAAATAAACAAACTGTGCAACAGATGATCCTGTAGACTACTGAATGCACGTCAATTACATTCATCTCTTGTAATTCTTACAACAACCCAGCAAGATCGGTCAGTATTAGCCACTTGCATGAGGGAGGTGAAGGGAGAGCAGCTTGGTAGAATCATAATTTCCTCTGTCCAAAGGGTACATCTAAGATTGCATCATCCACTCTTGTAGATATATAGGCTAAAAACCACAGGAATCAATTACCTGTCAATAACATCTCTCTGCTGAGGCAAACTAAAAGTACATAGTAGTATTTCTCGCTGAGAACAGAAACTGCCTTTGAAAAAATCAGAGAAAACCTAAAAAACATGCTATGGCTTGTGCAAATGTTACCTCACTGCTTTTATTACCAAAATTGGCAAAGAGTTTTGTGGTATCTTAAACACTTCACTAGTTTTATCTGGCATGTGCTTTTGTGGATCACAATCCACGTTTTTTAAAGAAGTAGACTACAAATCACAAAAGTGTACGTCTTTTAAAACTGCCACAAGACTCCTTATTGTTTTTGCTGCAGAAATCTGCAAAGCAGCATGGCTAATCTGAGATTCGTTAGACTTAAAATTCGTGGTCCCCAACCTTTTCCCAACCATGGACCGGTTTTGAGGGGGGCATGGCACACTTGCGTGGGGGTGTGGTTTGCCCACAGGGGGTGGAGTGCAAGGCAGCGCTCACATACATGCGCACAGTGGCCCTCGCGCAGGGGGGTGGAGCATGGCCATGCACATGCATGCAGTGGTGCTCGTGGGGGCCGCTTGCACACAGCACACTCAGAGGGGCGGTGCACACTTGAATGCATGTGCTTGGGGGGGCAGGAGATCTGTGTCTGCAGCCAGGTCCAGCCTAGGCCACGGACAGCTGCCGGGTCATGGACGGGAGCTAGTTTAGAGTTATGTCTGAACCCTAAATAAGCAATAGCCCATTTAAACTTTCATTTGTGGAAACAGTCCAGCTTTATGGCTTTAAATTGGCTTGTTTCAAACAAACCATAGTTAAGACTTAGATTTGCTAGATCTAAAATGAACAGTAAGTTTCAGTTAACCAAACTAAAATGGGACTTTCCAGTGTTTTAATCATGTCTGAACCAATTTAGAATATTGTGGCAGATTTAACAGATTTCATATATTAATTATAACCTAACCAGTGTGTAGTTTTCAGATACTATTTTTGTAAGATGCTTTTATTTTACCTTTCTGTCAACCCATAGGCTAGGTCCAGCATATCCATTTCCTCATCAGTGATTGTATCTAGCTTTTCAAATATATGATCTTCGAAGATTAAATGACAAGTGGAGCATGCAAGTGTTCCTTCGCATGCACCTGAAGATTTTAAAAACAAAACAAAACACACACACTTGAATTTGGCACAGATTTATAATATGGGCTCCCTGAAAAAATTTGAAAGAAAAATGAGAAGGTTTTTCAGATACATTTACTGGAGCCATAAGTTAACCAGGATTCAGTATAGCACAGTTGACATATGCACTGAACTCTAAACAATCACAGCACATTAATTTCATTGCTGCATTATATTTTTCAAAATATATTTCAGTATCCAAAAGTATAACAATTTAATATAGACAAAATATATACTTAAAATGCAAAGCTTTGAAGTATTATAATACAGTGGTTGCCTCGCTTAACAGGCGCTCCGTTTAGCGACGAAACCGCATAGCGACGAAGATCGCAATGTTTTAAATGGGGTTTTTTCGCTTTGCGATGATCGGGTCCCTGTTTCGCTTACCGATCATCACAAAGCGATGATTTTTTAACAGCTGATCGGCGATTCCAAAATGGCCACCGGGTAAAAAAAAATGGCCGGCTGCTGTCTTTAGGGACGGATTCCTCGCTTAAGAGGCAGCGAAAATGGCCGCCATATGGAGGATCTTCGCTTTAAGGTCAGTTTTTTGCCCACAGGAACGCATTAAACAGGTTTTAATTAGTTTCTATGGGCTTTTTAAAATCGCATAGCGACGAAATCGCTTAGCAGCGATTTTTGCTGCACGGATTAACATTGCTATGCGAGGCACCACTGTATTTGTAAACTTTTAAAGACTAGATAGTTCTATTAGTTCAACTGCATGCACTTCTATCTAAATTTTAAGGGAGGAAAATGAAGATGTAAACCTGGTTTAAATCTTACATTCATTAATATATAATGTATATTGTATGGTATATATAGTGGAGAGGGAGCAGCTGGGCCAAATTTGTGGAGTTCTGGAGCAAACAGGAAAAGTGAATCAGGCCCAGTAAATCCGAGGCTATTATTTTGTTTAAAGAAAACTACTGTAATGTATTCTGAGGCTTCCAAACTGAATTAGCCCATCACCCAGGGAGATGCTGTAGCTTTCCTACTTCTTTTCTCTAGTAGTTCTTGCATAGATTAAAAATACCATACCTAATATGAACTGCAATAAGTATTAATGATAAAAGATAAGGATATCATTTATTTTTAAATAAATACATTTAAATAAATAGTTTATGTACAAGATGCAGATATGCTACTAGTAACATCAGCAGTTTAGCTAAAACCAGCATAATTAAAGATAAAAACAGTGATAAGGAGACAATTTTATAAAGGCAAGAGAACAATCACTTTATTAAATGAAAGTTACACTAAAGAAGAAAATTATTCCTCAAGCAAGTAGGCTTAAGTGACTGGGGAGTAAAAAAGTACTGTATCTGCTCCTGCAATGCCCCCTAGTGACTAATACATAGAAGTATTTTCAGACTTTTCAGACCAAAGCATTTAAGCAATGTAACTGGCAACAATTGACAATAATTAATAAGGATTGTCAATGAAGACAGTAATTTTACAAATATCACTCATTTCCCCCTCAGTTGGTTTCTCAAATTGTGATCTGAATGATAAAATACTAAAAATAGTTTTGAACATTTCTCAAGTATTTCAAATTTCTCTGTTTTGCTCATGTCTTTATCTGCTTCTGGTTCTGTTCAATACTTAGTAGGGTGCCACTTGTTTAGATACTTGTAAAATACACTGAAATTATTGGTAAACCTGTACAACCGCATGAAGACCAATGACAAATCAAAAATATGTTTGTTCCAAAAGGGTACACATGCTCTCTATTTTGGTTTGCTTCTCAGATTTTCTAGTGTTGCAGATCTCTAATGAAAGTTTATTTGACCCAACTCTGGGAGGCAGTGGAAGACAGGACGGCCTGGCGTGCTCTGGTCCATGGGGTCACGAAGAGTCGGACACGACTAAACAACAACAACAGTGAAAGTTTATATGTAATCCTCTCACTGAAACCAGAGGAAATTAGAAGTGATTAGATTTTACTTGATTGTTACCCATATATTATGAAGTTTAAAAATAACAAGAATGTCATTTCCTGAAAGTTTTACTTTGTAATAATAGGGATCAAGTGTTTTTACTTACCAAATCCATCAATGTCCAGATTGTTGTCAACCACAACATCTAAAAGTGAGTCCCCAACCTTCCCTTGGGCCGTCAGCTTGTCACCATCACGATTTATAAAGTGCACAGTAACTTTATCTTCGGCGCTGAAATACATGTATATAATATAAAAACAACAAAACAATGTATTTAACAATCTTTGTCTAGAAAAGAATGACTGACTCAAAAGCATTGCATGACTCTCTGGAGATCACAAAAGCAAGTTAATAATACAATCTTTGATTTATGAACAATTTTTGAGCCATTTTTAATGCTGTGGGTCACTTGATTTACAGTACTTCTGATGAATATGGGTCTTTGGGACCATTAGCATAGCGTAGTTGTAAAAGCCTTACTGTACAGCATCCCAAACATATTTTGGCTTCTCCTAAAGTTGGGCTTTTAATGTAGCATTTCAAAAGTTTCTTTAGTGTGTATTACAACCATATTTACACAATTCAGCATTTTCTGTATATGTGGTTTCTAGAACAGTTATAAATTAATTGTCCTTATTAGGTTTTCTAAGCACTATAAAAAGAAAAGAAAAATCAAAATAGTGCTTACAAGATTACAATCAAAAAGGAAGTAGGGGAAAGAAAGGGGATAAAAAGCAAACCAATCCTACATAGTAACATCAAACTCATTATAATCCTTTATGTAGTCAAAGCAGCACTACTCAATCAAAAGAAAATAGTATCAGCAGTCTTAGGAAATCTCTAGGTTTAAAAGATAAAAGGGGAGACATTAGAAGAAAGCCCACCAGGTTGAAAAACTTGAGAGACTCCAAATCTCATTAGCCCCAGCCAGCCTGACCAATGGTGATAGAGGATGGAAACATAAATACATTAATATGCAAAGCACAATGGCTTCCCCACCCCTACCTAAAAGAGAGAAGATAAAGACTGCCTAAACACTACAATGATGCCCAGCAGCCAGGGAATACCTTGTGTTAGTGTGTGCATAAAACTGGCACCAGAAGGAAGGGAAATACAATGGAATCTCCTAGGAAAAAGACAAGGCTGGTTGGCTGGCATCCTGAACAGGAACACTCTACAATACAACATTTGGCTGGAGGTTCTACTTCCTTGAAGTTGCATTTCATCCTGTATGGACCCTTAATACTAACTGGATATTATGGTAAGCCAATTTACTGAAGTCAAGAGAGGGAAATGTTTTTCCCTTCTCTTCTTTGCAGCTCATCCCATGTCAGGAAGAACCTCTTGATCTTCCAGTTCAAAGTACCAACACTGCAATTAAAGGTTTTAGTTTAGAAAAACAACTGCTCATGCACTGCAAGGTTTAAATGATTGTTTGTTTTTCCTACTTATCAGTCCTCTAATTCCCCCCTTGGATCTATGGGCGGTATTAACAAAAAAATACTTATCAGTCTTCCAGTTCCCCCCTTGGACTAGACCATTGCACCCCTTCACTGAACTACTGCACCAGCAGAAGGGAGTGCCAAAATTTGGGATCGGAAGACAGGTAAATATTTCTCAATGGCGACTTATTTCTCGCTTGCCCACAGAGAGGGCTGTGTGTGCCAGCTTTGGCACGCATGCCATAGGTTCGCCATCGCTAGACTATCAGTGATTATCAACCTGGAGTATGCATACCCCCAGGAGTATGAACTAGGACATTAGAGGTACATGAGAAAAAAAAAGAAAAAGAAAAAGGCACATAAGTCAATGAAGTTATTCAGTGGCCTTAATCTGCTTGCAATTGAGATGTACTATCAGACTGAAGCAAAGTGGCCTTAATCTGCTTGCAATTGAGATGTATTATCAGACTGAAGCAAAGTCTCTAAAGCTTAAATTCAATTTTCATAAATTTCTAAGCAGATTTTCCTCATGTCTCCATGTTTGTTTTCAATATATATTTTGACTGGAACCTGGAAGTAGAAATAAAACCTGTAGAACTTGGCAAGTTTTGGGGTTGCCTGAAAAGAAAAGACATATAATTAGATAACCAGATGAGTTTAGAGATGCTTGTCAATGATGGTATGATTTTATTCCAGGATTAACCCTTTACCGGAATGATGTCAGCTATTACAAACCATAGCTTTAGTTCATTGCCTGGGAAGGTCTATAAATCTTTGTAGGACTCCTGGGGATGTCAGGCATGCTTATCAGGATCTGACATAATGAAATTCAAAGTACCATGAATTTGTCACTGTTGGTATGTGCTGTCACAAATTGTTTCCGACTTATGTTGACCCTAGGATTTAGTCATCTACTGAATGGTGAGAATGCCTGTAATGCTTCTTTGGCACGCATGCCATAGGTTCGGGAAATGGGGCCTATGGGGAAAAATCGCAAAGCGATTTTCCCCATAGGAAACATCGCAATGCGATCGCTTTTGCGATCGCAAAATCTGCATCGCTATGCGGATTTGTCGTTAAATGGGGCGCTCGTTATACGAGGCACCACTGTACTCACTTCTCTGATACACTGTATATCTTGTACAGTGGTGCCTCGCAAGACGAGCGCTTTGTTTTATGACGAAATTGCGTAACGATGAAATTTTTGCGATCGCAAAACGATGTTTCCTCTGGGTTTTTTTCGCTTTGCGATGATCGGTTCCCTGCTTCGCTAACCGATTATCGCAAAATGACAATTTTCGCACAGCTGATAGGCGGTTTCAAAATGGCCGCCCGCTGTTTTCTGGGACGGATTCCTCGCTGCACGGGCAGCGAAAATGGCCATGCTATGGAGGATCT